TAACAAAAGTGGAAAAAAAGCCAGACATGCTAAGTCCACTGGTTATGTGGTGTGGTGTGCTATAGGAAATTACCCAGATGCTATGCATGGTGTAAGACCCTACATTAACAAAATATGTTCTTCACTGCATAATGCTTCAGGGTAGCTAATACCAGGGAGTATCTGCTGTGAATGCCTTTGCTTTGCACTTAGTGGGACCTGAGCTCTACTCCAGCAAACTTCACTCTCTGAAAGTCCAGAGACAATTCAACCTGCAAACTGTTAAAATATGAGGTTTTCCTCAAGAAAGGATATTCATAGTATTAAACCAAGCTAAACCTTGTAGCTAGACTTGTGATATAGACTAGAACTTGTGATGATCACCACTCCTGAACTGTGTGAACAAGCATAAGAATGTTTACTCTTCATGTTTAAAAAAGGCAACCCAAAACTTTACAGGACTGATCACTAAGACAGGTTTTTTCTCTGTAGCTGTTCTCTGTGGTTACATATACCAATGTTTAACAATGCAAGCGAGAATTGGAAAAGAACAAGACACTCTTCAATCGTATATCAAGTGTGCAATATAGATTATGGGCATCTGTCATGACATTTGCTGTCACAGAAAACATATGATAGAAACTGCTTTCCAGCTTTTATGTAATTCATTTCCTGGGTTTGAGTGGTTCCACCACTTTACCTGCTCAGATCAAATAGGTATCTTCATGTCCAACAGGCAGTTAAATACGTGTTTATGGACATTTGTATCACAGTTTAGTACAGAAATTACTTCAGCTGATATAGTTTTTGAAACAAAGTATTTGAACGTTCTCTTAATCAGCATTGTTCACTTGCATAAGAGCACAGAACAAGAACATTCTATACAAACCGTTTTGTTTTTTCATTAGCTCAAAGCAAAAAAAAAAAAAAAGATTGGGCCTATGTTAGCAAAAGCAACCAAATCTGGGCGTCTATTCCATTCTTTTTGGTCAATATGACAGACCTGGACAGTGGCTTCAGCCAGAACTGTAACAGAATGAGTTCATTAAGAAACACTACCAGGTTTGTGTGCCAGTGTGCTTATGGCCCCAACTTTGAGCTGTCAGCAAGGGAAAGGAGAAACTACAATTGCCACACATTGGTGAAAGACACCTATTTTCAGAAACTGGGGGTATGTGCCCATTATAATAAATGCTTGGTTTAGAGCATCAGATTGAGTACCCCAGCATCACTAATCGACCTTTTGGATATATGCTCCTTGTTTATAAATTTTATGTAGTTTATAATACTCAGTTGGAATATCTGAGTTACAATTTACTTTAAAAAAAAAGAAGAAAAGAAAAAGAACAGGCAAAATTAATTATATAAATATACAAAATTAATTATATAATTAATAATTAATTATATAAATAAATTCAGTAAATTCAGACTGAAACTGAGAGAAGAGAGGGTAAAGGCTGAATTATGTGTCATCTAATCAGCCTTAGGAGTATGGCAAACTTTGCCTCATGGATAGAAACAATAAGGCAATGATTATTGGAGACTTTCCTTATGAAATGTTGTCCTTTTGCATCACTGCACTTGGGAGGAGACCTTCTAAGCTGAAAACAGGCAGTACTTTTAACTGTTTTGTCAGGCTCCAAGTTTCCCAAGCAGCACTAGTGGGCAGGGAAAAAGTTAGAAAATTGGTTTCTGTGGGGTTCTTGAAGACTTCCAGAAAGCACAATAATCTTGGCAGTTTCACCTTTGCTGTTCTTGGTATTAAGAAGACAAGGCAACAAGGTATTAGTGTTACTGATGTAAGCTATTAATAGAAAGGAGACACCCAAAAATAAAGAGGTTTAAAGGACAAAATGCAACAGCAGAGAATTCTTTCCTTGCAACCAGGATAGTTAACACAGAACAAAAACCAGCAGAGCACCTATGCCTGGGATTCTCTTCAGAAGGAAAAAGGACAAAAGAGACCAAAATTAGTACCTTAAAAAAATGAAAACATATTTTGAGATAATTAATTTGCACAGAGAAGGCGATGCCTTGTTCCTGACATAAGCAAAATTAGCTCTTATTTACTGTTAATTCTTCTCATTGGCTACAAAAGCAGATGAAAATGAGCTGTCAAAGGTTGTTTTCCATAGTGCAAATGAGAGCACAAACAGGAAGGTATATGTATGTTAATAAGCAGAAAGCAATGATCAGTATGCCCTTGAGAGCAGAAGCATTCCTTGAGGTTTCTGATAAACTGATGGTACAGTATGTTGCCTTAACTATAAGCACTAAAAATGCATTTACAAAAAAAATTCTGCTTGTGCAGGGTCTCTCAAACTGATGGAGCTCTACTCCAGCACCAGTACTTGAAACAACCACCTTTTCTGTCCATTTGCGACATCTACATCATTTATACATACACAACATGCAACAGCCTCTCTAATGAACTGCAGTATTCCACAGTATTATTTATTGTGCAGTGCCTACAAAGACCAATTAGATCTCCACACCCTAGCTTTGCAGTATTTGAAGAATATATTTACATTTAAAAAAAACCCAAACCTTTCTAACAACTTTTTTTCCTCAAACAAAAGTATACTCTCTACTCAAATACAACCATTTTAAAGCTGTATCCCAGGTATCAGTAACACATAATCTTCACATTATAACTTTTATGCATTTTTTTAAAGTATGGTTATCATTGAAGAAATGCTTCCCACATCCATCTCCTCAGGCCAGACAACTTCTAGATCCTTTGTTTTTGAATATGCATCTGCATTAATGTGGCTGCTAATTCTAGGATGAATCTTGACAGTATTTGTTCCCTTAAATAGTCTTTACCTAGAAAACTGGTGACAACTGATTAATCACCCATGGGCCTACTAAGGGGAGTTAAATCTTGACTTAAAACTCATGATCTATTCCCATCTGATGGTATATAATACACGAAGGTATATGACATGTGATTTTAATAAAGTGCATAATTTTTTTCCATTCCCATCTCCTTTTTCTCATGCAAATGATTATTCCTGCTTTTAAGCTATCTGAATGTCATTACACAGGCCAAGTGTGATTCAGAGGTTTGCATTGCTGCTAACACATCCTTTTCTTGCTCAATAAAAATACTGAAGTTTGCTTTCAGTTTATGGTTCTGTTAAAATTTCGCTCAAGCTACTCCAGAAAACAGCATTTATTTTTAAAAAATGTATTTATTTGACCTTTTATTTTAGAGACACTTGTAGAAAGCTTCCAGTTATGCTACAGTAATGCTAGTAATTGTACATTAGCTTACCTGCTCATCCACCTGCTGATATATTCCTACGGGCATTTCTGTTGATGTTTTTACTATGAGTTCTGCATGTATTTTTGTCAACATGAATTAGCAAATATGTTTTCCTTCACAGACTTTCAAAACAGTAATAATTTAACATCTTAGCACATTCTATAGTCATCACAACCTCCTGGTTGTTGAATGCATTAAAAAAAAAGCAAAAGTCAATCTTCGATCTTTAAGATGTACAATTTAAACCATTTTTTGTTCCCTTTGCAGTAAAAAAAAAAAAAAAGAAAGAAAACTATGCCTCTGAAACTTAAATAGATTTGAAGAACTTCAGTCACTAATTTTATGTTTCCAAATTGCTGGAAAAGGTTACATTCCTACCATTCCACTCAAGATTCAGTACTACTATTCAAGATTCTTTTTTTAGACTATGTGCATGAATAAATCACTTCTGATAAGATACAACCAGTTACAAAGAATTAGATAACTTAGGTGAAGAACAGTATATATAAATAAAATGTTTTCCAGAATACAAAACGATTAGGGGTTGACGACAACTTATAAAAAGACCATAGGCATTTTGAATTTCTGATCTGCTAACACATCTTTCTTTCCTATGCACTGTTTTACTGATTTTGGTCCCTGAAATCTATTAGGTGTTTTCTTCTGTAGTTCTCTTGGTATCTGTCTGCAGGAAACAAATTGGCAACAATGCTGGTTGCTATTTATACTTTCTCAACAAAACTATTCAGCAAGAGGTATAGGGATGAAGTAGCAAGAAATACTTCCTTTCTACTATGAGGTTAACTGCTTAACAAAGGTGCTTCCAGCACCTGTTCTGCCACCACATCAACATTTGGTCTAATGAAAATAAGAAATGGGACATATTCAATTGATAGGTCTTTATCTGTGCATTACTGCATCCAAATCTATAGGAACTCTATATATCATGTATCTGATTTCACAACAATAAAATAATCCACATATACATTACAGGAAGGGACATTAGTTTCTTAACTTTAAACCCTGTCTCTTTGAAAGTGCCACAACACAATTGCACAGACTAACCATCTTGCTAAGCAGATCTATTTTTAGGCACTTTCTTTGTTATTGTATCACAGTGCCTACTTTTTAAACTCAGTTTAGTTTTGCTGGTAGCTGAGCTTACGAGTTTTGCCACATGTTTCCTCCAAAGGTAAATATAAATACATAATTGTTTTGGTTCTGTAGCACCATAATGATACAGTGTTAACATACATTGGACAATAAGTCTGAAAGGGAAAAAAAATGATACATATCTGCAGAAGAGCTCAGGCGTGATAACTTCACACAGACACACACCTGTATGGCAAACTGTTTACAAGCTGCGCATCACCCCTGACACGGCCGCGTCCCTGCCTTACGTAGGGCCAGCCAAAGGAAACGAGGTACCAACTTGAGTCAGCGCTTGGGAGAACTGCCCGAGTTTATTAACTCCGCCGTGAGCCCACCGCAGCCTCCCTGGCACAGCCTCCGCCAAACTACCTGTAACACAGCCCCTTTTTCCCACCCTGCCGCCTCACGCGGATCCCCATGCCAGTCCACGCGTCCTCTCCTCGCCCAAAGAGCGGGTGCTGCCCTCCCCCCCCCCACCGCCGCTCGCGGGGCTCCCGCTCCGGGCAGCGGGGGACCCACCCCATCACCCCCTCCCTCCTTCCCTCCCGCGCGCCTTCCTTTCCCCCCCCCTCCTCCGCGGGCCGCCCCCGCCGCTACTCACCAGCTGCGCGCCGCACACGGCCACCAGTGTGCACCGGCCACTGCAATAGCCCATGGCTCCCGGCACCCCGCGCCGCCGTCCCGCGCCGCGCCCACTCAGGCGGCGGGAGAGCACCGCCCGGCCGCCGCCCGGCTCCCGCCTGCCGCCGGCGAGCCCCAGCCCGGGACCCGCATGGGGGCGCGCCCGCCCTACCCGCGGCCGCAGCGCCCGCCGCCTCGGCGGTCGGCGGCAGCGGGGCCGGCCGCCCCCGCGGAAGGCGGCAGCGCCGGGGGGAGGGCGGCGACAGGTGCCTGGAGGAGCAGCCGCGCTCTGCCGCGCAACCCCAGAGGCATCTAGGCTTCAAAGTTTGCCCCCTCAACTCCTCTCGCAAACCATCCGGGCTCGCAGCCGTCTGCGGCGGGGGGGGGGCGGGGGGGGGAGGGGAGGAGGGAGGGAGGGGGGGACGGCGAGGCGCGGCAGGCGGCGGCGCCGCCGAGCTCGGTTCACGCTCGCAGAGCGGCTTCCCTCCTGCCCACGGCACAGCCACCTCCCCGCCCGCCTTCCTCCTCCTCCTTCTCCTGGTAGGGCTCAGGCAGCCCCAGCAGTGGGAGCCCCTCGCCTGGGGGCTCCCCCGCGGGAGGGCGCGGAGGGGCGGTGCAGCCGCGGGGGAAGCGTCCGCTTTGTCTGCGCGGGCGCGGCGAGCGCGGCTGCACCTTTCCGGGCGCCTTTGTGTCGGCGGGACACCCCTCCGCGCCCACCCCTCCTGGGTTCCCCCGCACCGCACGGCGCCCGCCGCCACCCAGGGAAAGACCCCCGGGCGGGCAGCAGAGCCGCGGAGCATAGCGGGGCATGGCGCGGAGCGGCCCGCGCTCACAGCTGGGCAGGGCAGCAGCGGGGAGCGCGGAGCGGGGCCGGCGCGGCCGCAGCCCCGCGGTAGAACGCGCTGCTGCCGCCTGGCGGGCTGCGGCTGTCGGTGCAGGGGGAAGCCGCCCCGGCCGGCTCTTCCTCCGCGGTGCTGCTGTCGCCGGCACCGGGGAGAGCTCCACGGGACCGCCGGGGGCACGCCGACCCCCAATTGCCCTCTGCACCCGCGTCCCTCTCACCCTGGGCAGAGGTCACAGGCGGAGACCGATCAGAGGAGCCTGACCGGAAGGACTGGGAGGGCTCCGAGGCAGAGGCCAGGAGTTGCAGGATGAGAACTGGAAAAGAAGGACAAGACTTAGTCGCATTTACAAAAATATCAATTGGTTTCAGGGAACTGGTTCTGCCCACCATCATGATGAGGAACGTTTGGACTTAGTGACTTGGTCCAGCGTTACTCTGCTATTAAAAGCATCCAGAATACATCAAGTTGGTGGGAAATTATGTGTCAAGATCTGGTGTGTCGATCAACCTCCAAAGGTTATTACTTGCTGTGACATCAGCAACCACCTTGACATTGCATTTGGACCTGGTCACTCTTTTACTGAGCTGCCCACTAACAAAGATCGTTTTATCAGTGACATCAACAGTTATGAACTGGAGGAATGTCACTGGGTTTTCTGAGCACATGTGGATGTTTGTTTGCAGCACAAATATTCTGTGAAACTGGAAGCTTAGAACTCCAACTAGTTTGTGTCTCACTTGCTAAGTGAGTTTGTCAAAATAGTTGGCAAGCTATCAAATGATCAGTTTTGACTCCTAAAATTCTCATAAGGTAATGAGCACTCCACAGGGGAGCAAAACACACACAAAGGTGACAGTATTTTTCCTCAGCTCCATAGTGACATCCTTCTGATTGTCAACCTCTGTGTTATCTGAAACAGCATTGACCAGGAAGATCACTGGTCATGAGGAGTACCAAACACAGTGAACATACTCACTTTAGGATCTAAGGAGGCAATTGCTAGGGAGAGCTGTATCTGAGAACAAATAAAGCTGTGGAGCTGCTGAGGCTCAGAGAGCGGAAACGTTCAGCAACTGGCAGTGAATAGCTGAGGTACCTCTGGACTCAAACAGTCTTTCTTGACTTCTTCAATATGCCATTCATGCATTTATAGGATCACAGAATGGGTAAAGTTGGAAGGGACTACATTGTGTCATCTAGTCCAACCTCACTGTTCAAGCAGGGCCATCCCAAAATACATAGCACAGATTTGCAATCAGACAGTTCTGGAATATCTCCAGTGAGGGAGACTCCACAACCTCTCTAGGCAGTCTGTTTCAGTATGCAGTCACCTGCACAGTAAAGAAGTTCTTCCTCATGTTCAGGTGGAACTTTCTATGCATCAGTTTCTTCCCATTGCCTCTTATTGCTTGGCACCACCAAGAAGAGCCTGGCTCTATCCTCTTGACACCCTGCCCTCTGATGCTTGCATACATTGATGAGGTCCCCTCCTCTCGAGACTGAACAGGCTTTCCTCATGAGAGAGATACTCCAGTCCCTTAATCATCTTTGTAGCCCTCCACTGGACCACTCAAGGAGCTCCACATCTCTCTTGTACTGAAGTGTCCAGAACTGGACACAACACTCCAGATGTGGCCACACTAGGGCTGAGTAGAGGAGCAGGATCATCTCCCTCAATGTGCTGGCAATGCTCTTCTAAATGCAGCCCATGATGCCATTGGCTTTCTTGGCCACAAGGACACACTGCTGGCTCATGGACAGCTTGTTGTTCACCAGGACCCCCAGGTCCTTCTCAACAGGGCTGCTTTCCAGCAGGTCAGCCCCCAGCCTGTACTGGTGCATTTTACAGAGGTGACATTGGTGTATTAACTGGTATTATGGTTGCTTGAACTTTAGATTTGAACTATACAAGATGGAGCAGGAGATTCTGCAGTCACTGTGTAGTTACTTCTGTCTCATCCCAGGCATGTTACCCTTTGTGTACTGATCTCTTCCAGTATAGTGAATCCTGAGGAGTCAGAGTGGTCAAAAAAAAATTACAGCAATTGTTTCCTAGTAAAACTGGTAGTAGCAAGAACAGTGTATCTCATTATCTGAGACTGGGAGCTGGGAAGCTAACAGAAGGGGCAACTTGTGCTGAGAGGAAGCTAACACTAGTTCCCTCTGTGTGAACATAACTGATCTGATTGTTTATTACTGTGGGAGGTTTCCTAAGGAAAATGTGAACAATAATGACAGAGTCTGAAAGAATGATCTCCATGGACTCCTACAGCTCCCCAAAACTCCCCAGTCCTTTTCTTTTCTCAGCACTTTCCCCTATAGCTTTGGATTGTAGTAAGAATCTCTACTTTGCCTTCTCCTGAGTGCCTTCAAAGTAATTGTGTCTCTTTCTGTCACTGTTATCCAGTTTCCCCTGATCAGTGGCTTATCTATCCACACAAACTGCCTTTCCTCATGTCACTTTTGTCTGTTTAACCTCTTCTTCTTTTGGGCTTCTTTGAGTTGTCTGTGTCCCATTTTTTTTCAGTAGCAGTTGGGTAGCCTTTTTTGCTCTGTCCTACAGTATCAAATGTACAGGTATGGACTACATTTTGCCCTGTCTGGCCACAGCTTGTTGGAAACATCACTCAAGAGCAGAATGAGGCCTCAGCAGAGGCAGATGAAGTCAAAGAATCAGTTGTGTGAACTGCTCTGTTCCCTGACCTTTGTCTGAGCTCTGGTGCTGCCTCTGTTGCTGTTTCCCTCTGCTGCTGTTCTAGTCTTTCTACCTTTCCAAACATGAATCTTCCCAAAAGCTGAGATTTAAAGAGCAAGATATTCCTCCAGCTCTGTTAATCTTTTTGACAATAGTCACACTTATGTTCTCTGTGAGATTCTCCAGTTGTAACCCACCACTGACGTGTCAAAGAGCATTCCTCCTCCCTGTAGCCAACACTCACCACTTTTAGGCTTGCTGTGGGCTTGCCTTTGCTTGCTTTGTGGAATTAGGAAAGCTACAAATTATATATTGGGAGAGAAAAAATGTTATGTTATGACTATGTAGAGTAGGTGAGGAAGGATGAGTGAAGCTCTGAATCCTTATTAAACTGCTCCCAGAGCAGTGAGCCACAGGATTCAGCTCTCATTGGGTCAAATGCTCAGGGCCTTTTGCAGTCCAGTCTAAGCCTGTTCTTGAGGCCCCACAGCTTCAACATGCAGTGAAATCAGCTGTGTACATACAGTAATACTGTTTTTTAGGTTTCCAGTTTGACTTAACAAAAGACCTGTTGTGTGTGCTCAGTGAGTAATCTCCAAATGTTCATAATTTTGTCAAAACAAAACCAATTTTCTTTGAAGGCAGGCTGTGTAGTGCTCCTCACTGAAGGTTATTCCATGCAAAACATTACCTGGTAGATTACAGTGATTTCACCAGTTGCATTGTAATCATAAAGAGGCCAAAAGGAAAAAAGAAAAAAAAAAGATAAAAATAGGTTTCCCTGTTTCCCTTCACTCTCCTTATAATCAAGTGTAATTTTATTCCTGCTTCTATAACTCATTTCTGTGAGGAGATCAGCTCCAAAATCTGTGACTCTCACTAATGACTGGAAACAGCAGGCTACAGTTCCAGTTATAAGAGCTCATTGCCAGTGCCTGTACATCCGCGGTGTCTGCATTTTGAAGGCAAGAGGGGAACACATCTTTCAATGTCATAATGGTAAAGTCTGTGTCCCCCAGAGTGCCTTCCCTGTGATTTGACAGGATTTACTAACTGGCTGTAAGCCTGACCCTAGCCTGTTCCTTCTCTGAGCCTGTGGGAACACCTGGGGAAAAGGGAAGCCCAAGTAGGGCTGCAGCTGCCAGCCTGCTGCATCAAACCTGCAGCCACAGGGGAGAACAAGGACTTGCGAGAACAAGCCGCAGGCCAAACAGACTGGCAGGAAGGGCCACAAGCAGCTTATGAACCGTAGCTTGTATATCCCTTTCCTTTAATAAAATTTTTATGTGAAATCCGTTAAAGCCAGCACAGCGTGGGTTCAGTGGCGCATCATCCCAAGCATTCCAGCCGTGTAGGAGCTTGCCACCACCAGCATCGTCTACCCAGGCTGTCCCACGTGTTGGTAAGTCAACATGGGCTCCTGTCTACTGAATCTGTTCTCATATCAAACCAGTCTGAAAATGCTTTGTAACTGATAATGTTGTCATTAATAGTAAAGGGAAAATGTTGTTGTAATTTAACCAACACCTTGTTAACAGAGCAGACCTTGCTGTG